TGTAGTTTGATTTTTTTTTAAAGATTTATTTATTTGTGCATACAGAACTGGAGTACAGGCCAGAGGTGCAGGGGCAGTGAGAGGATTCACCAGAGATAGTGGGGAGCAGAACAGGCAGATCAATGAGGTACACTGCTGAGGGGAGCAGCGGGCGAGTCAGGAGGGGTCTGCAGTGCCAAGTGGATCACCTCCGGGGCAGGTAGGAATGGAACTCATGCTGAAGGCTTTAGCTTCTTAGTGCAGTACTTTAACCTGCTGCACCACCAGGGAGGGCCCCTGAGTTTGATTTTAATGGATATTCCTGATAGCTTATAAAAGTATCTTAAATTAGAATAACCTTTTTCTCTGTCTTTGAGATCAGAAAACAGAGGTGATTTTCCCTGTGAATTAAATAACAAACCCCTCCTAGCTGTGGTGAGTCCAAGATTAACTGGAGGCAATTAGAAAATAGAGAGATAATATGAAATGATTTACTACTTGTGACGTTAGTGACCTCCTCCCCAAACCACAATTAAGTTTTCATTTGAAAAATAGCCACTAATTAATGTTCTTTTTCACAGAGGAAATAATAGACATTTTTAAACTTTTTTTTTTCCTAGCATATTTTGAAAATTTGAGGATTTTCCTTCCCAACAGTAATGGAATGTTGTATAAAATTTAGAATAATGTGATTTGATACAATAATCCATTAAGACTAATTGCAAGGCACGGTTATGTTCAGAAAAAGAATAAATTGGTACTTGGAGAGCTTATATGTATACCCTAGAAAAGCCTAGGTTACCACCTAAAGACACCTGAAGAAGTTCTTTAGCCACAGATGTCACAGACACAGCCTGGACCAAGTGGTATTCTGGGAGGCAGTGACGCAACCCAGAGCAAAATCAAGTGGAAGTAGAGAGTTAATAATCACTGGGTTTCTGTCCATTGAGTGTTACTTACCTGCATTCCCTCATTTAATCTCCCCAACCATGTATTGGTATGCACTATATTTTGCAGATGCAAAGCAAGGTATGAGAAGTTGAGTAACTTGCTTATTCTGCTGTTTAGTAGCAAAGGGAGAATTCAGTTTAAGTTCTGCCTGGCTCAGTCTCAAGGACAGCACACAAGATGTGAGATCAGCTATAGATGTCACCACTAGAGATATAGGAGAAGAATGCTGCTAGCAAAGCAGTAGGGAGAGGAATAAAGCTGACTTTAGAGCAGATCTGCCAGCAGCAGTAATCCAACCATGAATTTGTTGGGGTTCCGTTTGTAATGGTTTGGCTAGGTTCTAAATAAAGAGAAAAAGAAGAAAAGCCTTTTAATCAAGAAAAGACAGATTGTTAGAATTTACTTTAAAATAGAGGGAAGTTGTAATTAACCTGAGCATACTTAACAAGAAAGAATGAGTACATCCATGTTTGTCATCCATGTTTGTTTTATTAAAAAAAAGATTATTTATGCCTACAGAACCAGGATACAGGCCAGAGGTGCAGGGGCGGTGAGAGGATTCACCAGAGACAGTTAGGAACAGAACAGGCAGATCAGGGGAATAGTGGGCGGGTCAGAAGTGCCATGTGGGTCAGCTCTCTGGCTGTGGATTGAACTCATGCTGAAGCGACTGTAGTTCATGGTGCTGCACTTTAACCCACTCCAACACAGGGTAGGGCCCATGTTTGTCTGTTTTGAAAATTCTTCCTTTCTTACATTTCTTGATACTGTCTTTTTGTCCAGATGCCCCTGGAAATCACCCGGAGTTTCATCCAGAACCGGGATGGAACTTATGAACTGTTTAAATGTCCTAAGGTGGAAGTAGAGAGCATAGCAGAAACCTATGGTCGTATAGAAAAACAACCAGTGCTTCGACCCTTGGAACTCAAAACTTTTCTCAAAGTTGGTAAGTGAATTGGTAATTTCAGTGGTACATCTTCCTTTGAGGATCAACAGTGTGGAGTATACTGCCCTAGATTTTGGATTTGGACCTCATTCATTCATTTATAAATGAATAAAGACAGTCATGGGATAAAGTATTTGTGTATTTAAGTCTGTACTTTATAACAAAATTACAGAAGTAACACATTTTCACTGTAGAAAAATCATAGATTTCATGACAGAAAATGAAGGAGGAAAAAAAAATACCATCTTTAATTCCACCCACCATAAAAGGTATTACCATTATAATTTTGGTGTTAACCTTTGCAGATACTTTTTTGTGCATAAAGAGAGTTTTTAAAACCTGGAGTCATACTTCACCTGCATTTTCACTTAAAAATATATCATAGGGGCCCTCCCTGGTGGCGCAGTGGGTTAAAGCACTGCACTAAGAGGCTTAGGCCACTTCCACATTAGTTGGATTCCCACTTTCACATGAGTTGGATTCCACATGGCACGGCAGTCCTCTCCTGACCTGCCAGCTGTTCCCCTCAGCAGTGTACTTTGTCAATCTTCCTGTTCTGCTCCCCACTCTGTCTCTGGTATAGTCTCTCACCGCCCTTGCACTTCTGGCATGTATCCCAGTTCTGTATGAATAAATAAATCTTAAAAAAAAAATCATTAAAAAAAAATATAGATATCATAGGGCCCTCCCTGGTGGCACAACAGGTTAGGACGCAGTACTGCAACCTAGACGCAGCTGCTTCAGTGTGAGTTAGATCCCCAACACTGGGGGTGACCCACATGGCACAGCAGACCTCACCTGACCTGCCAGCTGTTCCCCTCAGCAGTGTACTTTGTCAATCTTCCTGTTCTGCTCCCCACTCTGTCTCTGGTATAGTCTCTCACCGCCCTTGCACTTCTGGCATGTATCCCAGTTCTGTATGAATAAATAAATCTTTAATATATATATATATATATATATATATATATATATAGCATAAACTTGTGATTACTATAAAACATACATAAAATTTACTATTTTAGCCATTTTGAAAAATTGTATGATTCTGTGACATTAAGTACATTTCCATTGTTGTGCAACCCATCACCACCATCCGTCTCTTAATACTTTATCTTCCTTAACTGAAACTGAAACTTTGCCCTTGGAACACTTACCCTCCTGCCCCCTTTCTACCACCTTCTGGCTCCTAACACCATCATGTTACTCTCTATGAATTTGACTACTTGAGGAATTTCATATAAGTCAAATCATGCAATATTTCTTTTCATGATGGCTTATTTCACTTATGATGAACTTCAAGGTTCATCATATTCTATGTAGCATATATCAAAAGTTATTTTCTTTTGAGTCCTCCCTTTAACCTTTTAACAAAAGGTTAAAGTGCAGCACTGCGAAGCTATCAGCAGCTGCTCTGGCACAAATTCAACCCCCAGCCAGGGAAGTGACCCACATGATGTGTCAGACCTCTTCTGTCTCTCCCACTGCTCCCCTCAGCAGTGTACTTCAGTCAGTCTCTCTGTTCGCCTCCAGTCAGTCTCTCTGTTCCCCTCCCACTCTGTCTTTGGTGAATCCTCTGATAGCCACTCCTCTGGTCTGTACTGCAGTGTTTCTATGTATAAGTAAGTAAATGTTAAAAAAAAAGAAAGAAAAAGAGAGACACTTGGTTGTAAGATGCCCAAGGTCGTAACAGCCTTATGGTAAGAGAAGAAACTTTGCCAAAAAAGATAAAAAAGAAAGGAAACTGCCAATGACTATTCTGGTTACCAACCCATTTGATACATTCAGATCTTAGAAAATGTTGGAATAGGGAGGCAGTAGAAAGTAGTGCTTCAGAATATTATTTATCAGGTTTAGAAATCCATACTATAAATTTGCATATTAAAAAGATCCAGAAAATAGGGCCTTCCCTGGTGATGCAGTGGGTTGAAACTCAGCACTATAAAGCTTGCTGTGGTCACTTCAGCATAAGTTTGATCCCTGCCAGGGAGGTGACCCACATAGCACGGCAGACCTCTCCTGTCTTACCCGCTGCTCCCCTCAGCAGTGTACTTCATCAGTCTGCCTTTTCTGCTCCCCACTGTCTCTGGTGAATCCTCTTACCACCCCTGTATCTCTAGCCTGCTTTTGTATGATAATAAATATGTTTTAAAAATCCAGAAATTAGAAAATATTGTTGAACTTTACTGACCATAAGATTTCTGAAACTTATTTGACCAATGAGCACTTTTCAAGTGCTTACCATTAACATTATATAGAATATTTTTTCTGGGAAAACCACTCTTTTGTTGTTTATTTATTTATTTATGCATACAGAACTGGGGTACAGGTCAGAGGTGTGGTGGTGAAAGGATTCACCAGAGACAGAGAGGGAAGCAGAACAGGCAGATGTACTGAAATGCACTGCTGAGGGGAGTAGCAGTGCACAGGTCAGGAGAGGTCTGCCACACTATGTGGGTCACCTCCCTGGCCAGGGATTGAACTTGTGCTGCAGTGGCTATGGACAGCTTCATAGTGCTGCGCTTTAACCCGTTGTGTCACCAGGAGGGTCTTTCTTTGTTTTTAAGGTTTTTTTTTAAATGCATCCAAGGACTGCTGTGTAGGTCAGAGGTATGGAGGGTGGTAAGAAGATTCACCAGAGACAGAGTGGGGAGCACAACAGTTGGACAGACTGAAATACACTGTGTAGGGGAATAGCTGACAAGACAGGAGAGGTCTGCTGTGCCATATGGGTCATCTCCTTGGCCAGGGATGGAACTCATGCTGCAGTGGCTGCGAATAGCTTCATAGTGCTGAGACCTAACATCTTACAACACCAAGAAGGCCCTGGTCTCATGTCTTTTTTAGTTGTTTTCTGTCTTTCGGTAAATGAGCTATTTTCTATTTCATTAATTTTCTTCATAGTTTTAAAAATGATACCATCTCCTTAGACATTGTTTAACCTGAGTTTTTCATGTTTAAATCTTTTTTTTTTTTTTTTAATTTTGATGTAAGGTACAAGGTAAGATTTAGCCATCTTTTATTTTCTTGCAGACAGCTACCTGGTATCACACCTTATTTATTGAAAGATATATTTGTATTTCTTTAATGGAAAATGCTGCCTTTATCTTATGTTCAATACCCTGTTCTATTGGTATCCATTTTAAATTGTTCTGTTTTGATTTCTTAATCTGTTAGACATTTGCCAGTATGCCAGCACCACACTCCGTTGATTATTATGGATTTGTAATATGTTTTAAAACCATGTAGATTTCTTTGTGATTTCCTTGAAACTTGACCTTTTCTTGCTAGTCTCCCTTTTAATTTCATCCAACTTTCTTTTTCTCTCAGGCTAGACTCTCCTTGTGATTCTTTTGGCCATATTTTCATAAAGAATGGATCTTCATTTTCCAAGATAGTAACCAGGGACCCTCCCTGGTGGTGCAGTGGGTTAAAGCACAGCACTGTGAAGCTGGCGGCAGTGGCACTTCATCAGTAGGTCTGTTCTGCTCCCCACTCTGTCTCTGGTGAATCCTCTCACCGCCCCTGCACCTCTGGCCTGTACCCCAGCTCTGTATGCATAAATAAATTTTTAAAACAAACAAAAAGATGATAAACAATTATCTGAATCTTTTTTTGGGTAGATACAGCAGTAATCACTTTTTCCTGCCTATTGTTTTTCCCCTCTAATTCAGATATATATTTTCAGAAGTTCTTGTTGTGGTACCTAGCACCATTTTTCAAATTAGCTTCTCAATCAACTCATATAGCCCTTTGGTTTTACTTACTTATTCTTTCTTTTTTTTTTTTTTTAAGATTGATTTATTTATGCATACAAGAAGTGCAGGAGGCGAGAGGATTCATCAGAGGCAGAGTGGGCAACAGAACAGGCAGATCAACTGAAATATACTGCTGAGGGTAGCAGTGGGTAAGATAGGAGAGGTCTGCCACGCCACATGTGTCACCCCCCTGGCTGGGGATCAAATTCGTGCTGCAGTGGCTGTGGATAACTTCAAGTGCTGCCCTTTAACTCCTTTCACCAACAGGGAGGGCTCATTTTTCAAATTAGCTTTTCAATCAACTCATATAGCGTTTCAGTTTTATTTACTTTTTCTTTTCCTATTTAATCCCCAAGCAAAGTAAAATCTGTCCAGACTAAAAATTTGAAATTGAGCCATTGGTCCTTTTCTTTTTCTTTTTCTTCAGGCAACACTTCTCCAGATCAAAAGGAACCAACACCTTTCATTATTGAGTGGATCCCAGATATCCTTCCCCAATCCAAGATCGGCGAGCTGCGGATCAAGTTTGAATATGGTCACCACCGGAATGGCCATGTGGCAGAGTACCAAGACCAGCGACCCGCCTTGGATCAGCCCTTGGAACTGGCCCCCCTGACCACCATCACTTTCCCTTAAGGCAAAACAAGTCTTTTGCTGCTAAATTTGCACATACCCTCCCCTGACAACTTTAAATACCAGTTAGGTACTTAGAACTACCTGTTTATTAGGGAACTTCTCTTAGCTAAGATAAAATTTCTCATATGTTCACACGGATTCTGTTGAAGTAACACTCTTCTTGTAAATAGCCTTGTCGGTGCTGCTATGTATAGTCTTCATGATAAACTGGGTAATATTTCTGGCTAAAGTTTTTAAAGGAACAGAGAAAACCACTTCATTTTCCTCCTTTAAGAACTCCCTTGTAAGAGTTTGTTTTAACCCCTTTCTAATTCTCTTAACAAGTTAGCAACAGTCTGCCTTACACCAATACTGTTGAAAAGTTAATACTCTGGTTAGGGGAGAGTATAAAGAACCATCTCTGGGTAAAGTTGCACTCATGCCCTTTTCTTCTATCCTCAATGCAGTGTCCCTAGTTTTTCCAGGTTATGTCTCATGTTGCTAGGAAATCATAAATTTGGCAGGGTGAGGGACAGAGATCTAGGTGATAGTGAAATAGGAAAAAGAGGTCCCAAGTATCAAGGGAAAAGTGACATTTCAAAATAATGCTTATAAGTGCTTTCTCCAAAAGTTTTACAACTGGTAAGTTGAATTCCTTTTTCTGAGTTTATTGATTATAGCATGGAGGTACTGAAAACCACAGAGGTAGAAATGTGTCTTCAGGAAAAGAAAAGAATGAACCTTTCCTACATGCCTACTATATGTCAGCTGACCACCTCCATTTACATCCTCACTTAACCATTTTTCTCACGTAGTCCTCATTACTAAGTTTAGGAATTACCTTCTTTTATGAAGTTAAAGAAACAGCCTTTCTGAGGTTGTTTCTTGCCAGAAACAGCATTAAAAAGAATGTGTTACTCAAAGTACATGTTCTTCCCACTTTATCATGTTGTTTTGATATAAATTCCTTATAATTCCTTGTCTTGGGAAGATAAGAAAAATCCATATAGAGTAGGCTGTTGGTTTTCTTTTGATTATAAGTAACAGAAATCCAACTCTTCACCAGCTTAAGCAAAAATGAGCATGAACAGCTGGTTTACGGTCATTAAAATAGGACCAATGGGTATGTAGGCTAGGTCTCAGCACCCTCGGGGCCTGAGTCCATCCCACTTCTGTGCTACTGGATCTTCATTCATTTTCAGCATGGAGCAGCCCATTTTCATAGGATTTCTGGCCCCTGAAGTACCTGAGTTTACGAAGTACCTGTCCTACCCTGGAGCAAGACAGATCGCATCCCATTCTCCTGAACCAAAGGACAGGTCCCCTCCAGAAAGACTGATCAGTCTAATAATGGAGGGGGCTGAGCATTGTTGGTAAAAGAGGAAGTTTTGCCTTTACAGGAGGGGGATAAGTAGATTGACGGGCTATGATTGATGTATGATGAGGAGGATGAAGATTGAGGGGCTAGCCCGCATGGATAGATAGTTCCCATGTACTTAAGACTAAGGAAAACTTGAGGAGGTACACAACTTTAAACTTGCACTGGGCTTTAAAGGAAACGGTCTGGATGATTATGGAGAAGGTAGAAATTAAAACTAAAGGCAGAGAGCCTGCCTGAAAAGCAAGAACACTTAAGTAAATCTGATGGTTGGCCAGTTCCAAAAAATCATTGAGAACTTTGAGGGCATCATTCACAGCTTTTTTTTTTTTTT